AGTTGCCATGTTCTTCCAGAATCTTGTCAATCACATTAGTGTAAAATGTCAGTCGTAAGCGGCGACTCGGTGAATCAGGTGCTTTGACCGGTGGCCTGCTTGGTCGTCAGGTTGATGGTGGAGGGCCCGAAGTGATGCAGGTTTTAAATGTTTTGTACAGTGTCTTTTAGGAAAATGTTTCCACGATTTTGTTCACCCATGTTTCTCTTAGTGTTTTAGGTCCGGCACAAATTTCCTCGTGAAAATGTTCCTGACCCTAACCTGATATATATTGTTTTGTTTCTTTGTTTGTTTGTTGTTTAACGCCTCGCTCGGCAACATTCCAGCTATGTGACGGCGGTCTTTAAATAATCGAGTCTTGACCGGACAATCAAGTGATTGATCAACCAAGTCAGCGAGCCTGACCACCCGATCCTGTTAGACGCCTCTTACACAAGCAAAGCCGCCTCTTACACAAGCAAGGTTGCTGGAGACATATTCCACCCCTGATCTTCACGGGGCGACATATTATTGTAATCATATGGAACTTAAATATGCATGTTGATTTCATCGAATCACTGAAGATTTCTTCCACATGTGCTCAATTTCACTGGGCGAGATACATTTTCATTGGCAATATTTGTTCCAGTGGAACTAATTCCATGTGAAACTAATCATCGTTGGTATAAGCAGATCCGGAAGCACCACGGTTGTGAGATTTGCTTTCCTAAGACCTAATCCCGATAAACGACGGTAAGCACCCACTTTTATAAGACATGCGATATACCACAAAGTCAAACCTCCCACCAAGATTTAATGCAACATGAAGCAGCTAATCCTGTATGAGCTATAGCAGGTCGTCCTGTTATACAGTTACATAACCAGTGGGGATAAACTAGTTGCCTTTACGCTGAACAAAGTTGTCAATAACACGAACACAATGAAAACCTCGATCTCTTCAAGTCATAGGTGAGGTGAGGTGAAATGGGTCGCGTCCGGGATTATTGCACTTATATAGCGACGTGCATGTACGTGTGTGTGTTTGTGTGGCTGCTTGTACTAGTCCGGACTGATGCCGATTTATATTGCTAGCTCACTGAGATACCATGCCGCAGTTTAACATGAATACCCCACTCAGACACAGTATACTGACTCCGAGCCCGACCAGTCCTTGTTTTAGCACCTTAATGCCGAGCGCCAGACAGGGTAACAACAAGTACCATCTCGATATTCACATCTACGTCTGACATTTATATTGAAGTTGTGTAATGACACTCTGAATTTACATAAAGCTTTAAAGGGCAAGTTCACACGGAAATGAACCAATTTTTCTTGTACTTTTTCCACATTAAAAGTGTTAACATAGAAGTGTCATAGACAAAAATATAAAAACATCATATTTAATTTACATATTTTTTGCATTAAAACGATTTATATTTTTCACATTTACTAAGTGTTCTATTTCCATAACAAAAACACCATGGCTTATGCCCCTTGCAATATGACGTCATTGGTGCCATTTGATAAACATTATGACGTCATCATGCTTTGTTAGAGCCGCTTCACGTGGTGTAGGTACAGTTTTGTGATTTTAGCGTCTCAGATGCCAGCCAGAATTGTGTTATACTGAGTCACCACTGCGCCGGAGTGTGTCGTAGACCATGTTGTTTTACATAAAAACTGGTCCTTGATATCTTTTGCGTTGAGAATAGACAGGGACCCAGTTGAATTAGCACCAATTACGTCATAATCTAAGGGGGATAACTCAGGCCTATTTTGCTCGTAAAACGAAGGCCTCATAACGGCATATCATTTTAACACTATTGTGAGCTTCCTACTTTCACTGTGAGAAAAAATGAGTGTATATTTTCAAACACAGATACTAACTAATTCTAAAATTGCGTTTTGTTTAGAAAAAGAAAGAAAGTGATTTTTGCGTGTACACTTCCCCTTTAATAAGCCCTCATCTAACATACTTTTCCTGTTCTGTAGCAGACCTTATATCATTGTAGTGGCTGAGGAATTGAATCATGAAGAAGAACAACTATAGCTACCATGCCAGTTTTGACAATAAATTTCCCGTAACCTTTGCAAAATCGGGGCGGTCGGGTAGCCTAGTGGTTGAAGCGTTTGTTCGTCACGCCGAAGACCCGGATTCGTTTCCCGACATGGGTACAATGTGTGAAGCCCATTTCTGGTGTTCTCCGACGTGATATGGCTGGAATATTGCTAAAAGCGGCGTAAATCCATCTTCCCGAGGCAAGTGAGTTAACTGACTATAAAAGTCCAGTTTCTATCCTTGCTGGTACCGAACTAGGCTGGTATTATGGAGTTACATTTTGGCTGGACTAACGAGTCTATGCATAGTCCAATCAAAATCGCGCACCGAAATCGAAATCCGGTTCGTAAACTGTCGTGCAGATTTCGACCGACTGCAGTATTTGCAAAGCATGTGCACCGCCACCTCGTTGTCAACAGATATTATTCCAAATCTTTTCATGTTTTTAATCAAGGTGCTCACGTGATTTGATGCATTTCGCGATGTAAGACCCGTTTTATCACAATATAGATCTTGATAATCGATCAGATCGTCCTGACTTGGCGCCGCCATTTTGTGTGAAGCAAACGCAAGTGATACGAGAGTTGGAATCTGATTGGTCCAAAGGGTGGGCGTTAGAAGGGACATAACTGGTAATATCCACTGGTGGCACTACGATCGAGCCCAGTCATTCCAGCCTAGTTCGGCAAGGGTGGAAACTGGACTTTTAAAGTCAGTTAACTCTCTTGCCTCGGGAAGATGCGTAAAACCATACTCACTTTGCTTAATGAGCACAAGACCATGATTGTGTTATTTTCAAGCGTTGAGTGTCCCTCGATGACTTCCTGTAAGTATTGCCGTATAAGGGGGCCGCCTCCGTGGTCTTGTGGTAGAGCGGAAGGTCCGAAGTTCGATCCCCGGCCGCGTCATACCAAAAGACGTTAAAAGATGGCACTTGTTGTTACCCTGTCTGCGCTCGGCATTAAGAGGCTTAAACAAGGACTGGTCGGCTCGGAGTCAGTATACTGTGTCTGAGTGGGGTATTCATGTTAAACTGCGGCATGGTATCTCAGTGAGCTAGCACTATAAATCGGCATCAGTCCGGACTTGTACAAGCAGCTACACACACACATACACGTACATGCACGTCGCTATATACGTGCAATAATCTTGGACGCGACGTTAAACCCGATTTCACCTCACCTCACCGTATAAGGTTGCCCTTGTGAAACAGTAATCTGTTTTAACATTGCAACGTTAAAGTGCTCGGTTCCAAATAAAAATAAGAGTTATCTAACTTACAGTGGGTCTACATCAAATTTCAAAACACAGCCGGTTTATCTCAGAATCAAACCTCTTAGAGAAGTATTTGTTTACATCCCGTCGAGGCTGTTGTCAAATGTCACTCATAACAAACACAATGTATTCTAACGAACTTCCACTCCAAAAATGGTTTTGGAAATCGAAATATTCTTGTTATTTTTACTTCTTTTGGTTGTGAAGAAATAAGCTCAATAATATTCAAATATCTATAACATTTTATTAATAAACAAATTAAACAAAAATAGTAATATTTCTTACAATTGTTCAATCTACTCATTGTAGAATGTCAGCATGGTTTGTATGGGGTTCATCCATCTTATAGTACGAATATATGTTTCAAAGAGACTTTTCTTAATATAGAACACTTGATATCTCGCCCGGGGCGTTTATACTTTATCATCGATGTTATCAAACCTGTCATGCGTACGTATACCTTGCTCCAGATAAAGGTTTAGAACTCGGAGGCTTGTCCAAGCGATATCTCGATCCTGACAAGCTAGTTTTGAGTGACCATTACATACAATTAATGAAGTCGTTCCATGTGCATACAACTTCTGGAGTGTAGTGGTTGGTAATCCTTACGTTTGACAAATTCAAAGACGGACTAAGGCGTATGTATATAGGTAAATATTACTTTCAACCTCGAGTGAAAAGGATACTTGACATGGGCGGATACAGCTTTTTTGAAAAGGGGGGGTGCACAATTAAGATCTATTTATTGTCTTTGGTGGTAATTTATACAGAAATAAAGATTTTTTTCGAAATAAAAAGGGGGTGCTGCCAGAAAACCGGTGTTTTACAGATAATACGGAAACACATCAAAGGTTTAGATTTTGATGTACTGTTTTTCAAGGCAAACACAAATTATTCATGGCGGGCGTTTATTTCCCTCGAAATGTGGGTTGACAAGACATTTTTTTCAGAGTAGGCATTTATTCAAAGATTTACGGTACGTGTCATATCGTGGTCGTAACCTTCGCCACGTCTTGTGATTTATTGTGTGTGCTGTGAACCGACAATGAATTCAAACCATGTGAGCAGTGTAGGAACCAGTTTTTACGGGAAGAGTGGGTGTGGCATAAGAACAAATGAGAGAATGCACCACATCCAAGTGGACTGAAGGTAAAAATGCACCCCCCCCCCCCCCCCCAAAAAAAAAAAACACACAAAAAAACAACAACACAACGAAACAAAACAACAAAAAAACAATTCCTCAGTGTTACTAATTACTCTAATAGAAACGTGAAATTACAACACATCTGCTGATACAATATGGCAACAGCTGAGAATATATGTGATAACTGCATGTATGTCTATATCTGTGTGTACGTTCGTTTGTCCAGCGATTTTAATATAAATTTAATCAACAGTAAGGATAAATTATAAACATTACCATATCCTTTGAAAAGAATTGAAATGAAAAACAAAATAGCTCAAAAGATCGCGAAACTTAATGTGTTTTTGAGATTAGCAATAACCAAGCAACCGTTACACCGATTTATGTATTAATGTTATGTAGATCTACCTATGCCAAAAAACTGTTTTCATAACGCCTTCAAGATAACCGGACTTTGACCCACAGTATGACTTAGCGTGTATATAAAGGACAGAAAGAGAGCCTTCATACACTAAACCATTTGTTGGGTATTATTCATTTTAATCGGTGGTAATGATGTACATATGAAATATCAGTATATACCACAGCTATTATCGTCTCTTATGGTCACAGTTTGAAGTTTGTGTGCCTGTACTTTGCATAAATCCTTTATGTACCCACAACGACTATATTGCCTTGACCTCTGACCTCAACAATGGCGTCCGTCATGCAGCAGGTACGTTGTATAATATGGGAACTTTCTAAACAATTATTCTACTGGTACAGCCTCTTGTCATCTCCCTAATTGACTCACACTTTGCTTATATTGTGTGCCTTTACAACTTGTACCAGTTTCATATAACTGGTACCATTTTCCTGGCGTAGGGTTAGAGTTTTAGAATCTTAATTTCTACACTAGACCTTATGACTTGTAGGTTGGGGAATTGTCACACTCTATAGCAGCACATCACTTGTGTGCGGAGTTCTTGCATGCTCTTGGCGTTCCATCACTTGTAGCCTCTGAATGTGCAATGCACCGCGTCGAGGTTAACAAGAATGAGCATTTTCGCGAGAGTGGTGCAAGTGGCAGCGCTCTGTATCTCGCCTTACGAATCGAGTCGTTCATTAAGAACTGAGAGTCAGCCTTCGCTACAGCCGACGTATAGTCTGTAAAAACTGAACAGGGCCTACACATTGTGAGTGGGATGGTAATACTAATAGTCCGACAAGGCAATATTTTTTGCTATCTAGTGTCGAAAATAAACACCGGTTGTTGTTTAGTGGGGACCGCCATCTTGTCTTCCAAAACACGTCTGCCGTTTTTTTCCGATCTGAGATCATTGTTCAAAATTCGCTTTCGGTGAATTAGATTATACGCTTTTGGAGTACGCGATTGGATAAAAAAATTAGTATATGGATGATTTTAATATATTGGATGATTAATATATATTACATGATCTGTAGCAAATTTGAGATGCACACGTAGGTTATCACGCCTCAATATTGTGGAAGTTATTACCTCAACAAATAAAAAATATGCATGAAAGTAGAGGGATCTCATTAAAGTCGTATATTTACTCCAATAAGAATGCCTCTCTCTTTGAAGATCCATAACCCTTCCATTGAAGGTCATGTCAGAATAATGACCCGTGAAGATTCCGGAGTAGAATAGATCTTCAGCAACCCATACTTGCCGTAAAAGGTGACTATGCTTGTCGTAAAAAGCGACTAATGGGATCGGGTGGTCAGGCTCGCTGACTTGGTTTATACATGCCATCGATCCCAATTGAGTGGGTCGATGCTCATGATGTCAATCACTGGATTGTCTGGTCCAGACTCGATTATTTTACAGACCGCTGTCATATAGCTGGAATATTGCTGAGTGCGGCGTTAAACAACAAACAAACAAACAAACATGTCAGAATAATTATTGCTGAAAGTATATGTCTGGTTTTGTGACACAAGTACTGTAGTTTCTCAATTTAATGCACGGTTGTGACTCTAGATCTTTGATCCCAGTGTTTAATAAATGATAGGGAGGATTCCGTGCATAAACTCCATACAGCATGTAGTCGAGACCCCATCATGTGTTCGAGCCTCCATGTTTAATTGAGGAAGTATGGTATACATATTAGGGCTGGGACTGGTCCAAATTTACTACACGCGTACCCAACCCCCTATTACCTGACCCTACCCGGGTACCCAACCCCCTATTAGCCGACCCTACCCGGGTACCCACTGTAGGTCTCAAGAGTTGTGAACACAATGTCTAAATTGGGAATAGTTTAACTGTAGCCCTGTAGAAAACTGTATAGATACAAGTATGAAACCAGAGACCATATAATCATATAATAGATATATGGTCTCATGAAACGATCGAATCATGCATACACTGAAGTTGACTCAAGCTTTATCTTTACTCAAACATATACAAGTCAAAAGGAATGTGTGCATCATCAGAAAGAAATGGGAACATTATCGACTTGTGTAGCCACTGATCTATAGTGAGTTTTTGTCATTAAACAATACATCACGTGACTAACCATGGGTCCAGGTAGTACTGTGGGTACCAGGGTCCTATTTAGGACCCACCCGACCCAAGTACCCGAGTTACCTGTCCCAGCCCGAATACATATCACCTTAGCCTAGAACTACAAGCATGAAAGTAGAGGGATCTTGTCATAAGCCTAATTACTAATGCTACAATTGAAGATTTGGGGGGTCCATAGGTCTTAATACTCACGGACCCCAGGAACCCCATTAATGCTTTATTCCAAACATATTACCATGGATATGTGAGGCAGGCATTAGGCCAGGTATTTCTCCAAACTATATGCCCTTGGCAGTCAAATGGGATTTTTAAACATTTTGTTCAAACTTGGATTTTTGGCAAAGTTTTTATTTTCCTAAATTCCTCAATTTGCTGTTGTATTTTGCCATTGCATTATATGCCGAAATGTAAAAGGAAGCAATAAATACTGTTCCTTTACGATGTTTACTGCTATCGGTAGTGATCATGGTGATGATTAATACTGTTCCTCTACGATGTTTACTGCTATCGGTAGTGATCATGGTGATGATTAATACTGTTCCTCTACGATGTTTACTGCTATCGGTAGTGATCATGGTGATGATAAGTACTGTTCCTCTACCATGTTTGCTGCTATCGGTAGTGATCATGGTGATGATAAGTACTGTTCCTCTACCATGTTTGCTGCTATCGGTAGTGATCATGGTGATGATAAATACTGTTCCTCTACCATGTTTGCTGCTATCGGTAGTGATCATGGTGATGATGAATACTGTTCCTCTACCATGTTTACTGCTATCGGTAGTGATCATGGTGATGATGACGTCTTACCTCCAAAGCCATACAATCATTTATAACATCATAGCATGAACTGGAAAGTTTTTATTTTAATCATTGAATTTATCTGACTTTAGCTCCACAATTTGACATCTGAGCAGGTCTAGAGTATCCTCGTATGCATTTCCAACAACAGCTGGTTCTCCCAGTCCTGACAATTATGTACAAATTATGTACAAATTATATGCTTTATGAGTATCGCGTTTCAATCCCAGGGTTGAGTTAACAAGCATATTGTTAAAGGTAATATCTCCATACTGTAAACTCAATTACTCTTCATTCTCAGTTTCTGTGTATATTATTTTATTTTATGGCAAGAAATGAAAAAGGAGGTTATTTTTCACTAGTTCCAGGAACTGATGATTGTAGGTGTTTATGGTTCCAAATTTGTCAGCACTGTGCCGTAGCTCGGGCAAGGGTTTCATCAAGTATCATCTTACTGCATCACTTCATCCTTTCCTCCAACATCAAGCTGACACACATTGATGTGGCTGGAATAATTTCAAAGTGGTGCTGAAAGCCAACTCGCACACTCACAACTACTCCGATACACTTGTTTTGTAGATGTCTCGACTTGGGCTCCTAACACGGGCCGGCCTTCGGGCCCTGTCCTCTGCTCCTAATGCAGCCGCAGCCAGTAAATCAAGTGGCGCCTCTTTTGGATTCGGTAAGTTGCCTTGAAAGTTCCAGGTTCATTTACCTAGTGGTTAAAGCGTTCACTCATCACACCGAAAACCTGGGTTCGAATCCCGACATGGGTACAATGTGTGAAGCCCATTTCTGATGTCTCACTCACTCACTCACTCACTCACTCACTCACTCACTCACTCACTCACTCACTCACTCACTCACTCACTCACTCACTCACTCACTCACTCACTCACTCACTCTCACTCTCACTCTCACTCACTCACTCACTCACTCCCCCACCCACCCACTATCTTATATGTCATGTCAACATCAGCGCACCCACTCACTATCTTATATGTCATGTCAACATCAGCGCCTCTCATTCCAGTTGTTCACATAGTTTTAAACTAAACTCTCTTCAGACACTTCAGCAATTCGGGGGCATAATTGTTTGTCATGAAATATCATCTGTGATTCTATTTATGTTGTTGTCATAGTTGCCTGGTTACAAGGAGGAATAAACTTACATCTAGTAAATGTTAACATTTTTTCTTCATACTTAAATGCACGACTCATGTTCGTTGTTTCACTGCAGGGAAATGAGATATCAACATTATGTACAGCCTCTTTAAGGATGTTAGAATTGTCAGACTTAAAAAAATATTTACCTTTATTTTAATAATGATGACTTCCTGAATAGAATCTGACCTTAGTTATAACGGATAAGTCCATTTTATGAACAGGAAAGGAACTCGACATACGTGCATTTCATAAAACTGTTAATGTTGCAAATAACAACTTCGAGATAAAAGCACAACATTTCATTGTAAAGTCAAAATTGGGAGTGAGTCCAAGGTTTGAGATAGGGCTGTATATTTTTATTTTGTGTTTGAGATAAGCGGGCAAATTTATGTGTATTTTTATAGTGAGGCAGTGAAAGCTGGAAAATAGGTTCGAGCTGTTGGTACATTTGAGATAACAGGGTTCGAGATGACGAGGTTCGACTGTTTAACATGAATAAGTCATGTTATAGTGTTACTAAATTGTACACCTGTGAAGATCTGGGTTAGATATTCAGCATCGCATGCTTGGTGTTTGAGGCAACTAACAGGATCGGGTGGCCACGATTCTACATATACTGTTACCAATCTAAACATGACCTGGCCTGTGTTGGCCCAGTATACAATTAATCAATACAGTCCTTCCAGCAGACATTGTGCCTGGAGTTGTGCGTTTTCGAAATGGATTATTGTGTATATATTATTATGTTTATTTCAGAGTTTTCGGAGGAACAGAAAGAGTATCAGGCTCTGGCTCGGAAGTTTGCCCGGGAAGAAATCCTGCCCAAAGCACCCGAATATGACAAGTCAGGGGAGGTAATGCATGGTGTTCATATGTGTTCACAACCTGTGAAGATCTGGGGTAGAATAGGTCTTCAACAACCCATGCTTGTCTTAAACGGCAACTAACAAGATCGATGAGCCAGGCTTGCTGATTGGTTGATGCATATCATCACATCCCAATTTCATAGATCGGTGGGGGCGGTCGGGTAGCCTAGTGGTTAAAGCGTTAGCTCGTCACGCCGAAGACCCGGGTTCAATTCCCGACATGGGTACAATGTGTGAAGCCCATTTCTGGTGTGCCCCGCCATGATATTGCTGGAATATTGCTAAAAGTGGCGTAAAACCAAACTCACTCACTCACTCGTAGATCGATGCTCATGATATTAATCACTGGAGTGTCTGGTCCAGACTCGATTATTTACAGACCACTGTCCATTAGCATGAAACATCAAACAACAAGAAACATTGTAATCGCCTTGTTCATCAGTGTTCATTACATGTTCACCATGTTCACCTTGTTCATTGTCACAGGACTAATATTACAAGTGGCTTGTTTGAACATGCATATTGTGCAATGGCTGCCCTCTGGTTAGTTTAGTTCCAGGTATATATTATGTTTAATAAATGTTTGACTTAACGTCCCTGTTTACACGATGTTTGATGACTGTTTCAGTATCCAGTGGAGATAATCAAGAAGGCGTGGGAACTTGGCCTCATGAACACACACATCCCCCAGTCTTGTGGTACGTTCAACAAAGTCGTATTATTGGAGCGTCATCCCAACAGATTGATGGCAGATACACTCAAAAATCAAATTCTTATTCTAAAACACAGAAGTATGTATGATTATAGAAAATACCAGTGAGGACCCTGTCATGGTGTTCCCTTTAGTTTCTCATGCATGTCGAACTATAGATTTAACATATTTTATTGGTCAACTAAAAAAAATGGACTAAAATGATTCACAAAAGTTACTTCCCTTAGGTATGCCAGGATCCTAGGATCTTTGATTTTAATCCTAGATTGGATTATGATTGTTGGTACCCATGCTCGTGGGTTTAACTTTTAAAAATGGTAATCGTCTACATCACTTTGGGACCCGTGAAGATCCGGGGTAGAATAGATCTTCAGCAACCCATTCTTGCCGTAAAAGGCGACTATGCTTGTCGTAAGAGGCGACTAACAGGATCGGGTGGTCAGGCTCGCTGACTTGGTTGATGCATGTCATCGATCCCAATTGCGTGGATCGATCCTCATAATATTAATCACTGGATAGTCTGGTCCAGACTCGATTATTTACAGACCGCCGACATATAGCTGGAATATTGCTGAGTGCGGCGTTAAACAAAAACCAACCAACCAACCTTAGGTATGCCAGGATCCTTGGATCTTTGATTTTAATCCTAGATTGGATTATGATTGTTAGTACTTTGGGCTTTATTGAAACATTAAGCTGGCAGGCAGTGGTAACTGAAACTGGCTCTATGGACTTGTTGCAATCCTCTGACTGTACACAGGAGGTCTTGGCCTGGGGATCATGGACGCCTGCATCGTGACGGAGGAGCTGGCCTATGGCTGCACCGGGGTGCAGACAGCCATTGAGGCAAACTCCCTAGGAGTAAGTAGCACAGCCTGCATGGGTTCACTCAGCTGGAGTCTTGCCGCACTGCCTCCTTGCTTCTCTTGAAAAGTAGAATGTAAGCTGAAACGTTTTGTCCCCCCAGTTTGTGGGTGGGAAATAGCGATCAGCATCTCCACCCGTCTTCCGTTTTCTGTTTATGGAGCAGAACTCCAAAACCGTTAAATAATTCTTGCTGAAACTTTCTACACAGATCAGATTAGTGAGGAACTGGTGATTTGGGATGTTTTTTCTTTTGTTTTGTTTTGATGATTTTTTATTATGAAAAAAGTTCTTTTCTGTTCCGGAGCAGAACTCCAAATCCATTAAATATTTCTTGTTGAAGCTTGAATTATAGATCAGTCCGTAGGAGAAATGGTGCCTTTTGATGATTTGGGATTTTTAAAAATAATTACTTTATGTTTTCATGACAAGTTGGACTTCACTGAAAATATGGGTCATGCTCTTTTCCAGAGCATCTTTTGATGATATGAGATCTTAAAAAATACTGAATACATGTAGCATTATTTTTGTCTTCACTCAACTGAAGGTATCCAATGGCGATGAACCAAAAGTGGGGTATAAGTAGCCAAGATCTATTTCTGAATTGCACCAGTCCCGGGGGATCTGTCATCTGATGCCTTTCGTTTAATTATTCCAAATAATTTTCCTGGGGCGACAAGGGAGATAACTCTGTCCCAACACACCCTCCAATTCTGCTGCTACTTCAGGAACTCTGGGAAATATGTGAAAAATATATGGCAGAAAATACAGAAGTTATGGATGTCAACTTCTTTATCATGAGGAACACAACCTTTCGGAAGACATACTTCCTCCTTCATCAGGTTAATGGGGGCGGTCGGGTAGCCTAGTGGTTAAAGCGTTCACTCGTCACGTCGAAGACCTGGGTTCGATTCCCGACATGGGTACAATGTGTGAAGCCCAATTCTGGTGTCCCCCGCCATGATATTGCTGGAATATTGCTAAAAGCGGCGTAAAACCAAACTCACTCACTCATCAGGTTAATGAATGCTATGAGGCAGAGAGCATATATATATATGTACATGTAAGAACAACAAATGTAATAAGATAGCAAAAGGGGGAAACTTAACAAGGGAAGCCGACAGATAATGGCAACAGAATTGTTTGTAGGGCAATCTGGATATTCTGAATAAAATGGGGGCACGGGTGGCCCAGTCGTCTAAGGCGCCGTGATTCGCTGTGCAGAGTTGCGTCCCTTGGGCACTCCAAACCTATGATTGTGGGTTCGAACCCCGGTTTGCCCCAGTTATGTTTCTAGGTTTGTCAGCACCATACCCGTGCTCGTGGGTTTCACCGAAGTGGTAAACGTCTGAAACCTGCATCACTTTGGGCTTTTCTGCCACATTAAACTGACATGCTGCGATTTATTTGGAATACTGTTAAAAGCGGCGTTAAACCCAACCCACTCACACTTACTGAATAAAACATTTGGTGAAAAGAAACCAATATTTCCTCCTGTCTTGAAGCAAATATATTCTGTCTCTTACAAAAATCCCACAGTTACTGTAACATCAGTTCACACATTCATCTTCTTGTATATTTTCATCATGACCCTGATTTTTTTTTATGTATTCATGCTCGTTTAAAAAATGTGAATCTTACTTGGTTTTGTTGCCTTCCAGCAAATGCCAGTGATAATTGCAGGCAATGATGCTCAGAAGAAAAAGTACCTGGGGAGGATGATGGAAGAGCCTCTGATGTGTGTAAGTAGCATGACTGCATGCGTGTGTCACCATGTTACTATGTAATACCAACATGAAAACTACTCCCAGTGATTTTGACACAATAAGCTGTATAAAGCAGTGTTCCCGCTAGCTTTTTAAACTGTCAGTTCCAGTGGACTGACAACTATAGAACATACTAGTCCCACCCAAATTTTGTCAGTCCCAAATAAATATTGTATGAAAATTACCTGGTTATCATCAATTTCAATGCTTTTTACCTTCATGGCTGGCAAATTCAGTGACGTCATTTCTGAAGTAACTTATTTAGACCTACATGTCATCCAAACTAAGTTCAATCACTTATTATTATTTTTTTCTAAGTATTTCACTTTGATTTGAGACTAAGTCACTACAAATAGATATTTACTTTCGATGCTAAGTGAAATATTATTTCCTTGCACTAAAAATAGAAAACGGGAAACCCTGATGACAGACAAGCGGCCTTCATTCAAAAGTATGAGTTTTGACTATCAACAATGTTTTGTTCAACAACAAAGATTTACAAGATACCTTATTTGCCAGTCCACAGGGACTGGCAGTCTCAGGAATTACCGGACAAAGACTAATTTTCCGGTAAAAACTGGTAATTAGCAGTTAATGAGAACACTGATATACACACAGTAGGTCAATGACTTGGACCTAAGAAAAGTCAAATCAACAAAAATGGCAGACGAACAACAAATCAATGCATTACTGTTTGTGAGTGGATGAATAAATATGATCTGGCCAATAGAACGTTGGGATGATGTCTGGTGTCTCCCCGCCGTGATTTTGCCGGAATATTGCTAAAAGTGGCGTAAAACCATACTCACTCTCTCCTCTTTTTAAGTGACATGGTACGTACGCTATTGACCAAGCCTGTCTGTCTGGTCCAGATTTACGTGTTTACTGTAAGCTTACAGCCAGCCATAATATGGCTGTTATATTGTGTGTGAACAAGCCTGTCTGTCTGGTCCAGATTTACGTGTTTACTGTAAGCTTACAGCCAGCCATAATATGGCTGTCATATTGTGTGTGAACAAGCCTGTCTGTCTGGTCCAGATTTACGTGTTTACTGTAAGCTTACAGCCAGCCATAATATGGCTGTCATATTGTGTGTGAACAAGCCTGTCTGTCTGGTCCAGATTTACGTGTTTACTGTAAGCTTACAGCCAGCCATAATATGGCTGTCATATTGTGTGTGAACCAGTCTCTCACTATCTGTGTCCTCTTCAGGCCTATGGCGTGACAGAACCAGGGGCAGGATCGGACGTAGCGGGGATCAAGACTCGTGCCGTCAAGAAGGGCAACGAGTATGTCATCAATGGCCAGAAGATGTGGATCACAAATGGCGGCCATGCCAACTGGTATTTTGTCCTCGCCCGTACTGATCCAGACCCCAGTGCATCGGCTGGCAAAGCTTTCACAGGCTTCATCGTGGAACGGGACACCCCCGGTGTCATTCCTGGCAGGAAGGTAGATTGGAGATTGTGTTTATAGACTGGGACACCCAGTGTCATTCCTGGAAGGAAGGTAGATTGGAGATTGTGTTTAAAGACTGGGACACCCGGTGTCATTCCTGGCAGGAAGGTAGATTGGAGATTGTGTTTATAGACTGGGACACCCAGTGTCATTCCTGGCAGGAAGGTAGATTGGAGATTGTGTTTAAAGACTGGGACACCCAGTGTCATTCCTGGCAGGAAGGTAGATTGGAGATTGTGTTTATAGACTGGGACACCCAGTGTCATTCCTGGCAGGAAGGTAGATTGGAGATTGTGTTTATAGACTGGGACACCCAGTGTCATTCCTGGCAGGAAGGTAGATTGGAGATTGTGTTTATAGACTGGGACACCCAGTGTCATTCCTTCGCAGGAAGGTAGATTGGAGATTGTGTTTATAGACTGGGACACCCAGTGTCATTCCTGGCAGGAAGGTAGATTGGAGATTGTGTTTATAGACTGGGACACCCAGTGTCATTCCTGGCAGGAAGGTAGATTGGAGATTGTGTTTATAGACTGGGACACCCAGTGTCATTCCTGGCAGGAAGGTAGATTGGAGATTGTGTTTATAGACTGGGACACCCAGTGTCATTCCTGGCAGGAAGGTAGATTGGAGATTGTGTTTATAGACTGGGACACCCAGTGTCATTCCTTCGCAGGAAGGTAGATTTGAGATTGTGTTTATAGACTGGGACACCCAGTGTCATTCCTGGAAGGAAGGTAGATTGGAGATTGTGTTTATAGACTGGGACACCCAGTGTCATTCCTAGAAGGAAGGTAGATTGGAGATTGTGTTTATAGACTGGGGCTGAATGTTCATCAGTTATGTGGCATACAGTGTTCACTGCAACTATATGCTTTTGGCAGTTAAGGGGCCTTCCCTCTTTGAGATACCTGTAGTGATTTATACAGCAGGGCGGGGGCACGGGTGGCCCAGTCGCCTAAGGCGCCGCAATTTGCTGTGCTGAGTTCGCCCTTGGGCATGCCAGAAACCTAGGATTGTGGGTTCCAATCCTAGTTCGCCCCGATTATGTTTCTAGGTTTGTCAGCACCATACCAATGCTCATGGGTTTCACCAAAGTGGTAACGTCTGAGACCTGCATCACTTGGGGCTTTCCTCCCACATTAAGCTGACACGCCGCGATATGACTGGAATACTGTTAAAAGCGGTGTTAAACCCAACTCACTCACTCACTCACTCACTCACTATACAGCAGTGCAGAGAAGAGACATATTTAGTGCTTGTATCAGAGTTACCTCCCTTGGTTATCTGGTTTCAAGCTCCTTCCCAGCGCGTGACACCTTCGTTACACATTCGCTGCCACCAGTGTGGGCACGACCATTACAAGAATTTTGAAATTTGCCCTCTAACCCCAAATGTAGTAATGTTTATACTTGTTTTTATGTCTTTGGGAATACCATCATAGTGAATTTTGAAAAGGTTTGCGACTGACCATATTTCCCAGATGAATTTACCTATTTGTTTGTTTGATCAGATTGGTTCAAGACTGCAGACTAACGGAAAATCACCCAACTTCCACCATACATTCACACTATATCAATTACATCATAGTTGTAATGAAACAGAAATTCAAGATGACAAACGAAGAAAACAATTAAGCTGGAATAAGAGTATTCGATGTCACGGCAGTCATCACTTTTTTGCAAAATTGATGGTCAGTCGGTTGTGGTCACCTATCACAGTGGGGAGCTTTGACTGGTGTCAGCGATAGTACCGAAAGCTCCGCGAAGGAGCTATCGCTGTGAGGAGGTTGCCTTGTTTCCCATGCTCTATCCCTGCACGAGTTACCCCTGCCTGTTTGTATTTGCAGGAGTGGAACATGGGACAGAGAGCGTCGGACACGCGAGGAATCACCTTCGAGGATGTTGTTGTCCCAGCGGAGGTAATCTTCTCAATTTTAGGCCAGACTATATTTATCTTGGTCAACAGTAAGTTACGTTTGGTACTGTAGGTGATAAAAAAGTTATGAAAAAAAGACATCTCAGTTTTTTTCATCCCTGTTTCTCAAAAGGTTATCTGAAAATGTTTCCACCTGAGAATCACTTGACTTGTCTTTCTTGCGGTTTTCGCTATTTCATGCACTGTTTTATTTTGTGTTGAATATATAATTTTGTATTTGGTAACAATTACGAAAAACAAGACTTTTCATTGATTTTGAGTTAATGAAAACCAATTTAAACAAATTTTGATTGCTCATATCACCTTTTGTCTTGAGTGTTCAGCTTGATCTGAGCTGTGTCAGAGTGCTCTAAAGTCAGGTATATAAAGTCCTTTTCTGTTTGACCTATTGGCAAACGAATGCATTGGAACCAAAATGCTGTTTGATAATTGGTGAACTATGAAAGAACAGTGATGTGAATCTCCATTTCAGTGTAGTTCTTTGTTTTGGTCTTGCATGTCGGGGTCAGGGTTTTGCTGAACGCAGAATATTGCATCCTATATATAGCATTCAAATTGAAAATAGATGCAAATAATTTAAACAGAGAGTCATGTTGGACGCAATGTAGGACTATTTGAGTCTGTAAACTTATCCAACTTGTAGGCTGCGTGTCACATGTAATGAAAATTTATTGTGCGGTAAGAAATAAACAAAATATATTCCAGGTGTCAGTGGGTGACTGTCTTCAACTGTAACAGATTTTTCGTCCTGAGCAACCTATGCTGGTCGTATACTGTGACCACAGATCAGGTGGTGAGGTCCGTTGACTTAGTCGATTGCACCCCAAAGATCCGGGGTAGAATAGGTCTTCAGCAGCCCATGCTTGCCGTTAATGGCAACAATGCTTGTCATAAGAGGCGACTAACGGGATCATGTGGTCTGGCTGAATGATTTGTTTGATGCATGTCATCGTATCCCAATAGTATGGATTGATGCTCATGATCTCATGATGTCACTGGATTGTCTGATCCAGACTTGATTATTTACAGGCTGCAATCATATAGCTGGAAAATTGCTGATAGCAGGGTTAAGAATGCAGACAAACAGACAGGTTAAGAGTGGTGCACCATGTTGTAACCTATGATCCGTGTTTCTTGTTTGTAGAATGTCCTGGGCCAGGAAGGAGTCGGCTTCAAGATTGCAATGGGAGCTTTTGACAAAACAAGGCCCCCTGTAAGTAAATCAGTTGAGAACCTATAAGATCTGCTCTTTGTTATTTGTGTATGTAGGGACTGGTCATTCCTTATAGGAGGGGAGGTAGGGAGTGGTTTGTGTCATATTCATTTTAATCTCTGGCCTCCCATATAGTTGTGATAAATTTAGGTGACCCCCCTCTGGCCTGAGCCATTTTTCGATGCCAAATCATGCCCACCCCCCAAATTTTCAAAACCCAATTACTTTCAGTTATCTTGTGAACAGAAGCGCATACATTAAATGAGAAACTCAAATGTATAAAAACAGCTCACGTAAATATCCAGTGAAGCCTTTGTAAGCATGCATACAAAGGAGCTTAATTCCGAAACACAATTACGAGCTAATTTACTTTCCGAGTCCAGCCTATATATTTAGAACACTTATATACATCTAAAACATTATTTCATTTTTTTTTAATCTTAAAATATTCACTTATTTTGGGAATTTACCCAATAGAGTGATGAATAGATGAGTGAATGCAATAAAAAAATGAAATAACCAAATTAAAATAGAAACCATAGAGTAAAAACTCAATTGCGCAAAAAGTTAGCTCTGTAATTGTTCATGTAAACATTGTAAAGCCAAATTGTAAAGTCAAGAGTTTATTATGTCAAGTTGTATGGAAGAATTGTTGATAGAGTCATTGAGAGTTTAGTTTCTTGCACTCACTCACTCACTCACTCACTCACTCACTCACTCATAAACTTTTGCCAGTTAATTTATGACTTTGTACAAGATTATATTTAGTGTAGAAGTGCATGGAGTCGTCCCACTGATGACATCCTTACCTTGTCAGCTTGCTGACGGGATTAACCTCTTTGGTCATGTGGACAAGGCGTCCAACTTCTGATCAGGTCCGTGGTTCAAATCCCATCAAGGGACTCGGAAATTTTATGGCCGCTACATTGGTGCCCAACGTGGGGCTGGGCACGTTCATATTAAATTTGAGTCAAATAAGCCTCAGTACCCTACTATGCGGCCTGGGACGTGCATTCTGTTGACGGGGGAGTATGTAGAAGGGCGTGGAGTCATCCCACAGATGACATCCTTACCTTGTTACCTGACGGGGTTATCCTCTTTGGTTATGATCAGAAGGTCCGTGGTTAGAATCCCATCAAGGGACTGGGAAATTTTATGCCACTACATTACCTAAGCTTGTGAATAAATCTACTGACTCGTAAAAATGGAGAATAATTTTTTCATTATTTCTTACTCACTCTGGATACAGGTTGCGGCAGGTGCTGTTGGACTGGCCCAGCGAGCTCTGGACGAGGCCACCCGGTACTCCATGGAGAGGAAGACCATGGGCAAGTTCATCTGTGAGGTAAGCCAAGTTAACACCATCTTCCCAAGGCAAGGGAGTTAACCGACTATAAAAGTCCACTTTCCACCCTTGCCAAACTAGGCTGGAATTCCTAGGCTCGATCTTAGCGCACTAGTGGCTATTACGAGTTATGTCCATTCTATGCGCCTCCTGTTGGCTAATCAGATTCAATCTCTCATATCACTTGCATTTTGCTTCAAACAAAATGGCTGCACCCAGTCAAGACGATATGATCGATGATCGAGATCAATATTGTAATAAAACGGGTCTTACCTCACAAAATGCATCAAATCAAATGAGCACCTTAATTAAAAACATGAAAAGATTTGGAAAATGTCTTTTGGCAAAGAGTTGGCGGTACACATCCTCTGCAAGTCCTGTTGATTCCCCACATGGGTACAATGTGTGGTGTTCCCAACCGTGATATTGCTGAAAAATTGTCGAGTGTGGTGTAAAAAGCGACATGAAACCATACACATTCACTTTACACGCTATATTATTCACACTGTATGGAAACACTCGATGCCTGATGGCGATTTGACAGACATAGGATTGGACTATATTGAAGGTCAAGGTCAATATTTGTGAAGTAATCATTAAGAATCTTCTTCACTTTGACAATAAGAGAAGAATCACTCACTCACTCACTCCACTCTCTTCCAGCATCAAGCAGTGTCCTTCATCCTGGCTGAGATGGCCATCGGGGTGGAGACCGCTCGTCTGGCCATGCACCGGTCAGCGTGGGAGATTGACCAGGGACGTCGGAACACCTACTTCGCTTCCATAGCCAAGGCCCTCGCTGGGGATGTAGCAAACAAGTGTGCCACAGATGCTGTCCAGGTGATGATGCACAAATATTTCTGATGCATAATGACCATCTCAAAGTTTCTTTCTCTGTTAACCCACTTGGCTGACCAAGTTAGAATAGGTCCCGTGCTGCACCAGGGGTCCTTTCCCATACTTTAGCATGGACTTATAACAGTCTTAGTGCTAAAGTGGTAGTAACTCCCATACATTAACATGGGCTTACGACAGTCGTAGTGATGTTGTGAACGTAATTCCCATACTTTAACATGGACTAAGGACAGTCTTAGGGCAAAGGTGATTGTAGCTCACATACTTTAGCATGGACTTACGACAGTCGCAGCACTATGGTGATCGTAACTCCCACACCTTAACATGGACTTATGAGAGTAGTGGGACTTGGGTGATTGTAACTCCTTTACTTTAACCTGGACTTAGGACAGACGTATCGTTAAGGTGATCGTAATTCCCATACTTTAACATGGACTTAAGATAGTTGTAGCGCTAATCCTGTAATTATGGGTTATATTCTTGGTTTGTCAGCACCATACCCAACCTTGTGGGTTTCCCCATAGTGGTAAAGACCTGCATCACTTTTGGAAATACAATCTGAGTCCTGTTAATCCGACATGGTCGGTTGCATGTGATAATTTTGGATATACAAAATTAAGTAGTATCAACGTTCGTGATCGAAATTGGACAACTTCAAGATAGATAATGATACAGGTTCATTGTAATAAGATACTTATTAAGGAAATATTCATTTTGTAATGTTATGTTTTATTATCAGTGGAATATCTTTTGTAAAAAATAATGCAGATGCGACGTTAAATTTTAGATCACCCATTGTAATTATGCAACCTCAAAAAGCTTAACATGGTATTCCGACCTACAGCTGCCTGAACCAACATGACCGTGGATTAAGCTTATCGCTTTATCTCAGTAACGAGACTGATTAATGAGTGATTTCAGCAACTTGTTGCAAATTAGGTGTGTCTGAGTCAGAGTTTGAGACTGTTGGATTAACAAGTCGAAATAGCACTGATGGGATTAACAAGAGTCGGATTAACTGTTCAAAATGGTGTAAGTGTTAATTCACTCTCACTCACTCACTCACTCACTCACTCACTCACTCACTCACTCATTCTAAATACTAAGACAGTGAAGACTCTGACGGATTGAACTGGAAAACACACACAGAGTTTTGGAACATTCAGCTTATTTTGTACAGGGATATATTTCATTCGAAACCTTATCTCCTAATTGATTTTTCAATTTGAAAGATTTACAGATATAAGACACCACAATATGCTGGCATGTTTCAATGTATATATTGCTTTGTTTGAAGGTTTTCGGAGGTAATGGATTCAACAGTGATTACCCAGTGGAGAAGCTGATGAGAGATGCCAAGATTTACCAGGTATGACGCACAAGAGATTCTGGGGGTAATACGTCCCCAGTTCCTAATTGTCTGCCCCTTGTGAAAACCAGGGTAATATGTGCCCCAAGTAATCCTCTGTCCTGGTGGTGTCATTGTACCCTAATGCATGGATCTATGTTCATGCTATCAACCACTGGTTTGCAATGTGATATACCCTTGAAGATCTGGATTAGAATAGGTTTTAAGCAACCCATGCTTGCTGTAAGAGGCGACTAACAGGATCGGATGGTCAGACATGCTGACTTGGTTGATGCATGTCATCGTATCTCCATTTTGTGAGTATCGATGCTCATGATGTCAATCACTGGATTTTCTGGCCCAGACTTGATTATTTATTGACCCCCATCATACAGCTGGAATATTGCTGAGGGCAACGTTCGACAACAAACAACCAAAAAAATCTGAGGCTACAAAACAATATTGTATATTATAAATGATTGATTCAGATGGCAGTTACCATGGTTACAGTAAACAGTTTTGTGATAGAAATTTCAGTGGCAATGATCCTAGAAACATTTTGGGAAACAAGTGGCTCAGCACACAAATTCCTTCTCTTTATCTTTGTACAGGGCAGTAATGACCATACTTGTGGATAATGTTTTCATAGCTTATCAAACAGAAATAATGTACATGTACACTCCTCAGTGCTTTTTTCAATCTCATTAAAATCAGATCTTAGTTCTCGCTACCGCTTAACAAAGATCTGAGGACACGTCAGAACGACCTCTCGCGAACTTTGACCGATCAGTGAAATGACTGACAAGAAATCGACATTAGCCAATCAGAAGGCAGCTTTCTCAAGCTTTACGACACTAGTTTCAAACTGGCGACTACGCTTCGAAACATATTTTGACATATTTTCGGTTAAACAAATTTAAAACTGATAAAAAAACCATTCTAGAATGGCTTACAGATGGCCTAGATTGTATGAATAAAATCATAAAACCCGTAAATGTCGTTCGGAATAACCTCTGTTAAATATTTCGTGGTTGCATGATCAGAAAACACATTCCGTCTGTCACTTTCATGATCTGGTAAGCGAAGCTTTGATTGGTTGGATGAAAGGTCGTTCTGACGTTTAGCGATAGGGAGAACTAAGATCTGATTTTAATGAGATTGTGCTTTTTAACATGTAAATGATATTTTGTTTCAGATTTATGAGGGGACTGCTCAAATTCAACGTATGATTATTGCCCGGGAACACTTAATGAAAGCAAAGCAGACAATGTGATGAACCAATCAGATGCCTCATAACAAAACCACTTTTCGTCATATTTGCAATGACTGGTCACATCATGAGAAGAGCTCTCCTGTTTCGAAGTACATATTCAATAGTCACAGTATTTGTTGGTTATTCAATAGACACAGTATTTTGGGGTTATTCACAGTTTGTAAATCATAACCAAGAACTATGTCAGAAGTGTTTGTAGATATTAGAGTGTGTGGTTCAAGGTAGCCAGATCTGTGACTAATGGACAAGCTTGTGCAGCATTGCTCCTGAGTCTGGTATAGAAACATGAACCATTTTTACTTGTGTGAAGGACATTGTTGTACAAGACTTAGTACTAGGACAAAACATTGCTTCCTTATCAGAAGGTAGTGAATATTTATTTTATGGCCTGTTTGATATTGAAATTATATAATTAACTCTGAATACCATTGATATTTACTAACCATGCTTCTCTCTGCGTGTACATTGCTGTTTTCATTGTGCTCGATTTCCTGTACAAAGCACATGTACATATCATCAAGTTCCAGATGCTGTATCTTTGGATGTGATCTCTACGTGGAATAAATATTAAAGCCCTTTCTCTGTTACTGTTATTATCATGGGTTAGTGTTGGTCCCCAGGAATCTGTGGCCGTAGAAGGTGACTGAATGGGAGAGGGGTTTATTAGTGGCACTCAGCAACGGGATGGCGGCCTGTAATTGTAAAATCAGGACCACAAACCAGTGATTGATGTCATGAGCAACATGCCACCTCATCTTGGGATGATGACATGCAATCAACCAAGCCACCTAAAACTTCCCCAGAATCCCCATCACTCTGTGGTGTAGTGGATGAGAGTCTGTCTAGAGACCACCTCTGTGGTGTAGTGGATACAGTGGATAGAGAGTCTGTCTGGAGACTGCCTCTGTGGTGTAGTGGATAGAGAGTCTGTCTAGAGACCACCTCTGTGGTGTAGTGGAAAGAGAGTCTGTCTGGAGACTGCCTCTGTGGTGTAGTGGATAGAGAGTCTGTCTAGAGACCACCTCTGTGGTGTAGTGGAAAGAGAGTCTGTCTGGAGACCGCCTCTGTGGTGTAGTGGATGAGAGTCTGTCTAGAGACCACCTCTGTGGTGTAGTAAATTGAGAGTCTGTCTGGAGACCGCCTCTGTGGTGTAGTGGATAGAGTGTCTGTCTGGAGACTGCCTCTGTGGTGTAGTGGATAGAGTGTCTGTCTGGAGACCGCCTCTGTGGTGTAGTGGATAGAGTGTCTGTCTGGAGACCGCCTCTGTGGTGTAGTGGATGAGAGTCTGTCTGGAGACCACCTCTGTGGTGTAGTAAATTGAGAGTCTGTCTGGAGACCGCCTCTGTGGTGTAGTGGATGAGAGTCTGTCTGGAGACCACCTCTGTGGTAGAGTGGATAGAGTGTCTGTCTGGAGACTGCCTCTGTGGTGTAGTGGATAGAGTGTCTGTCTGGAGACCGCCTCTGTGTTTTAGTGGATAGAGTGTCTGTCTGGAGACCGCCTCTGTGGTGTAGTGGATAGAGCGTCTGTCTGGAGACCACCTCTGTGGTGTAGTGGATAGAGAGACTGTCTGGATACCAGCCGTGGTGTAGTGGATAGAGTGTCTGTCTGGAGACCGCCTCTGTGGTGTAGTGGAAAGAGAGTCTGTCTAGAGACCACCTCTGTGGTGTAGTAAATTGAGAGTCTGTCTGGAGACCGCCTCTGTGGTGTAGTGGATGAGAGTCTGTCTGGAGACCACCTCTGTGGTAGAGCGGATAGAGTGTCTGTCTGGAGACTGCCTCTGTGGTGTAGTGGATAGAGTGTCTGTCTGGAGACCGCCTCTGTGGTGTAGTGGATAGAGTGTCTGTCTGGAGACCGCCTCTGTGGTGTAGTGGATAGAGAGACTGTCTGGAGACCACCTCTGTGGTGTAGTGGATAGAGAGTGTCTGGAGACCACCTCTGTGGTGTAGTGTGCGGCTTCAAAAACAAACAAACTGATATTCTATATATATTTTTTTATATCAGGCTCACGTCAATATTTCACACGTTCGTGTAAAACCCTCATTTATACAGATTATCATCAAGGGAGGTCCATTCGTGCCATTCCGGGACAAGCCCTTGTAGGTTACAGGAAGTTGAGTGTTGAAGTATGAGGGAAGTGTATTTCTTGACAGCATTGACCCGCCACCTTACCTTAGTTTTGTTATTAAGTACTGGTCATGGAAGTAAGGATACCTACAAATATGGTTACAAAACGTTTAGAGAATAACCATGCAACGACCTTCAAGGAATTACTGATCATCTGTCCTTGGTGAATGATTGGTACATGTTAATCCCGAGGCTTAGGGCCTACAGCATTCATTCACGGGGGTCTGCTATTCCAAGTTTTGACAAGGCCATTCTGTATATATATATTTATTACCCACGTGGTGAAGTTACAGGTGGTAAGATACTAAATGCGTACGTCACACGTGTGTCGTACAAGGTTGACCTTGTTTTATTCGTTTTGATTGGATAACCGTTACCTCAGTCACACCGGGACTACTTTTTTCATTCATAAAAAATCGTTAGACGTCATTCATTTTGCAACTACAAGGCAGAACTGAAGCAATCTCATATGAGCGAGAGATATTAACAAACACTTTATTAAACCAAACAAGAAAGTAACACGCATCAAATTCGGTTTACATCCTATATAAGTTATGCATTGAGCTTCCACAGACATGATATAATCGAGCTATATCCATTTACAATGTACGACAACCGTTCAATAGGTCGATTGCCCAATGAGCGTGACGCACCCGACTACTTTCGCAACTTCCAATTTGATTTAACGTAAAAGGATAGGCGTGGTGAAATGAAGCCAGTTTAAACTATCTGGACAGGTTTCTTACTTACTAGATACAGGTTTCCGGAGAAAGACAGTTTCACTAGACATGGCCTGCACATTGACTGAGACTGCACGGAAGTCTCTAAAAAGGCGGGGCGGTCGGGTAGCCTAGTGGTTAAAGCGTTCGCTCGTCACGCCGAAGACCCGGGTTCGAAGCCCATTTCTGGTGTCCCCCGCCGTGATATTGCTGGAATATTGCTAAAAGCGGCGTAAAACCAAACTCACTCACTCACTTACACGTTAGGGGAACGTCTCCCACACTTATATCACACATGGTTGTTACAAATGGAAGTCAAGGGAAACGATGATGAATGTTAGATTTGTTTTGTATATTGATTTGTTGCTTAAACAAGAACTACTTGAATTGTATTGGTCAATGGCGTGTTAATAAATTGCTATGTACCCTACTCAGCAAAACGAATGGCGCGTACCTATAAATACATCACGTGCGTTACGTGTTTCTAAACCCATTGCTAATATGTGTCCCATTTAGTGCATTTTGGTATGATGCTGCCGGGGATCGAACCGCCTACCTTCCACTCTGTACAGGCTCATGCTCATTCACTCACTCTAAAAAGGCGCTTGTTAAAATTTATTCCTTTTCCAGCAGTGTCCGCCAAAACATTAGCCCCCGACTCTAATGAATTTTTAAATCATTTATATTTTGTAAAGAAACGACTCTTTCAACGAAAAGGGCGTGTTTGTTGGTCACATTCACAGGGGAGTCTTACATGTCATCTCTACACGCGATACCCAAGTCACACACCATATGCACACACAAAGATTGACACAAAGGTCATGTGAGTGAGTGAGCCTGATATGGAATAAATATATAGGATATCAGGTTTTTTTGTTTTTAAAGCCGCGTCCAGCAATATTCCAGCAGGCAGTCTGTAAATAATCGATTCTGGACCACACAATCAGTGATTGAGATCTTGAGCATCGGCCCAAGCAATTGGAGTGAGTGAGTATGGTTTTACGCCGCTTTAACGATATTCGATATCATATTACAAGCTTAGCTAAATGTAATCTTGTTCAAAGTCCAAAGCCATAAATCAACTGGCAAGAGTTTATCTGCACTTCTGTTCAGTGAGTGAGTGAGTGAGTGAGTGAGTCGCTTTTTAGCAATATTCCAGCAATATCACGGCGGGGGACACCAGAAATGCGCTCCACACATTGTACCCATGTCGGGAATCGAACCCGGGTCTTCGGCGTGACGAGCGATCGCTTTAACCACTAGGCTACCCGACCGCCCCCTTAACGTGTAAGTAGTGGTTGACAGTGTGTACAAACTGGTGTCAGATCTGCCTGAAAACGAAACACACTCAACATGTGATGGACACTGATCATTTAACCCCTGTCAACGATGATCACACATTTGTCGTGCAGGTGTTACGTCAGATTACACTGTTGGCGTGCACGTGTAATGTGCAGGTGCATTGTGCAGGTGTATTGTACGTGCGAACTAACTGACGTCCATGTGACCGAATTATCTTTTCTCATCAGTGTGTATATAATAGGAAAAATTAAATAAGATTTATGTATGTGTTGCAAACTCGGCAATATTGCAGATATATATGACAGTGGCACCCTCCTCGTTGTATGCAGATTTATTTTATTTTAATAATCATATTAATTTGTTATTCGAGAGTGTGTGGGTAGTAGGCTGGATGAGGGGTGAGTTGGTTGATTAGTTGGTTGGCTGGTTGGTTGGTTGAGTGATTAGTTGGCTGGCTCGTTGAGTGATTAGTAAGTTGGTTGTTTGGTTTAGTGGTTGGCCGGTTGAGTGATTAGTTGATTGGTTGGTTGGTTGGTTGGTTGAGGGGCCGGTTGAGTGATTAGTTGGTTGGTTGGTTGGTTGGTTGGTTGGATGAGTTGTTGGTTGAGTGATTGCATGTAGCAAGGTGTGGCACATCCCATGAGAAAGTGTAGATAATCTCAACTTATACATCCATTTGTTTGTCTCGCGTAGACGTATGCCCTTGTCACAGAAATCAGCCGCCTAAATATAATAACTCAGTAAAATTACCACAAATTCAAAAGAAACACACACACAAAAGTAAACATGACATTTTTTTAAGATATCCAAACAATTGTTTTAAGATAATTATACGCATATTCCTGAAACTAAATGCAACTTTTTTTATCTTGTTCACCTCGATAACAGAACCATAAAAATGTAATCAGTGAAATATATATAGGCCTTAGCATGTAAAGATATATGGGGTGTCGTGATTATATGACACACGTTGATATATTATACTATTTAGTGACTTGCACCATACTTGTCTTTTTCAGTCAATGATTATTTGTACTCTATCAATTTTTTTGTTTCGTGCGCGTGGCTATATATTTGACAAATGTCGACAAACTTAATTCGTATTGCCCAAGAAATGTACGCGTATATATTATTACACTATTCTATATATTACGCTTCTTTCATACTCAAGGCTAACTTTTACCGTACAAGTGTATTTCTACATTTTCGACGTCGAGGACTGAAAGCTTTCGTAACATGACTTAAAAAAAGTTTGCAGATTTCTTTTCAACCTGCGGTTTGCATCACAGATTTAATTTATTGGTGGGTCTCGTTCAACGTAAATCAATAAATTGTCAGTGAACTAATACATGACTCACGCTGCTGGCAATAACATGGTATATCGTGAGACATTGTCGTTAAATACAACCGTAAAAAAACTACCCTGTACGTCTACACTGCTAACACAACCGTCAGTACGCCAGACGCCACACAAACAAGACGGTCTGTCAAAGTTTATGCGTTGCTACAGCAACCAGGGCTCCGCGTGCCGACCTGGTCACGTGATGACAACTTCCTGTTCAGTCCTTGACAGGTGCCAACGCGAAATGGTTTGACTTTTCATGAATGAAGTCGTGAGAGAAGAGCAGTGATAACAAATTTGCGATTACCAGCTGGGTTTGTTTCGTGATCAAAATGTGTGGAGGCGGCGACAACAAAGTAGAAGATGCCGGCAAAGTAGAAGATGCCGGCGGAGAGAAGGCGAAGTACGGTAAGTGCACTGACAGGGAGATCGACTGTTGTTTACTAGGTGTATATATGAATCAGCTGTAAATAGCTTCACATCTTCCTTCAACAGATACAGAAGTTATGCCGGTTTTGACATGGAGTGTTTTTACTACTGGTCAGACTGATTAATTTTTTTGGAATTAATTAGTCTAAATAATGTCGAAAAAAAGAAGAATTAGATCTATATATTTTGAAGAATAGTTTTACATTAAAGTGCTGTTCACCGACCAGTTATGGGCATTTTTTATTAAAAAAATTCTGACATATTCTGTGTACAAAGTTGACTGTACCAGTAACTTTATATTTTAGTGAAACTATGAGCAAATGCGCTCATTTCTGTCTGTGGAATAAGATTCAGTTGATTTCTGTTATAAGGCTAGAATAGGGAATCAAAACAGTGGAATGAGAACTTTCCCATCGAGTTACTCGACCAGTTATCGCCATCATCTTAACAGAACGTGATCATGTGAACCGCTTCAGTTATACAAATTATATTTTTTAGTATCAATTTATTAGTCATCAACATGAATAAGAAATGTTGTTATCAATTTGTCATCTGCAAACTGACAAAAAACAATATTACACATGCTTCTCCTTAACACTATGTACTACGGATTTCTCGATATTATATATATACAGGCTATGCATTTTTTAAAATATACAGCTGGTTTCAGTTATACGGAAATTCGTTTATACGGACGAATTGTGAAATGACGCAAGTGTCCTTATCAACGAGACACGACTGTAACTCAAATAGGTTTCAGCTAGAATATTGTATTTTGGGGAAGAAATGACAGACAGATAAAACCCAATGACAGAAATGAAAGTGCATCATCGTGTTGTTTGATTGATATTTTCGCGTGAATCAGTCACGTGACACCGCCCCTGTATCTTTTCTGAAAGTTGTTTTTAAGAAAGGTGATTATGGTGTGTTTTTTAAAAAAATTACCTAACTAGAGTCCGTTTTGTTCATTTTCGGATAAATATTTCTCTGTTCTAATGAAAACGAGCAAGAGTAATATGAAATGCAATCATGTGCGTGCTATAACGGGGAATTGGCGATAATTGGTCTTCAGCAATAACTGGTCCTTAGCCAGTATATATAGTTTTCGCAGGACTTTATATTTCCCCGTAGTTAAGCATTCTCACAACACTTATCGACCATACTTTTCGTCTAATATCACTTTTGATATAGTTTTTATATAAACATACAATAAATTTGAGTGTACTAGTTTAGTTATATTTTATACTTAAAAATCTTAACCAGCCCTGCTAATCTGCTAATGTTAGAATGCATAGGGTTGGGACAAGTCCAAATTTACTACCCGGGTACTCGACCCCTACCTACCTGACCCTACCCAGGTATCCACTCAAAGAGTTGGTACAAATGTCTTATTGGGAATTGTTTTACCAGAGCCCTGGCAAACACGAATGAAACTATCTGATCATGTGAAGTTGACTGAAGCTTTTAAAAACATCTTTACTCAAATATATAAATATAAGTTAAAGGAATGCATGCATATTCAGACAGAAATGCGAACATTAAAAGTTCTACTTGAAGTGTCACCATCGACTTTTATTGTTATTGTCATAAAACAATCTATCACATGCCTATCCACGGGCCCGGGTAGTCCTGTGGGTACCCAGGTCCTACTCAGGACCCACCCAGGTCACCTGTCTCAGCTCTGGAATACATGTTTGTTTGTTTGTTTGTTTGTTGTTTAACGCCCATCAGCAATATTCCAGCTATTAGACAGCGGTCTGTAAATAATTGAGTCTGGACCAGACAATCCAGTGATTGTCATCATGAATTCATGAACATCGATCCAAGCAATTGGGATCGATGACATGCATCAACCAAGTCAGCAAGCCTGACCACCTGATCCCGTTAGTCGCCTCTTACGACAAGCATAGTCACCTTTTGGGGCAAGAATGGGTTGCTGAAGACCTATTCTACCCCGGGACTTCACAGGCCTGGAATACATGTGGGATGATTACTGTTCAGTGTGTTTTTAGTGTTAGGTCTTGTATCGGATTGCCAGCAAGTAAATACAGTTAGTCATGAGTCAGAATCAAGCAGTGTTTAGTTTCATCATATTCTTATGAGAGTCTCATGGGGCGCGAGCGAGAACAACCAAGACAAACACGGGGCAATCAGTGTTCAAAATTTTAAAAAATGCCAAGCTGCCATCAGGACCAACAGAATATAGAAGCTATGTACAGGTCCTGACTAAACTCTCCAGGGCCCCGTTCCACAAAGCGATCTTAGGGCTGAGTTGATTGTAACTCACTAAGTATGTGATCTTAAATTTTTGTTACAATCGGCCGCCCGTTCCACAAAGCAATCTTAACTAAGAGAGTTGTAAGTTAAGATCAAAATGCTAAGTTGCTCCGGACCAACTTAGGATTGCTAAAATCGATCTTAAATATTGTACCATAACAACAAAGATGGCGACTTTTATTATGGTGTGCAAGGAAATGCGTCGTCTGCTAAACATGACCAAGGGAGGCCACTCCAAGGGAAAATTTTGTATCTTTATGGCTGAAGATTCCGATCTTTGTTAAGATCGGCTACTTAAGAACTTGTAAAGTTACAATCACCCTAAGATCGCTTTGTGGAACGGTTGTAAACTTTAGCTAAGACAATTTTAGAATCGACGTAAGTCTCTAAGATTGATTGTAGTTATGATCGCTTTGTGGAACAGGGCCCAGGCCCTCATTTGAAAAACTGCAGCTTATAGTGACAAATAGATAGACTCGTAAATTTACTGCAGGCCACAATGAGCCATCAGTGTTATAAATTGGCACTAGTCCTGTAGTCCTTGTCTAGCTGCCCAATGGTTAAGTTATCCTAAGGACTTGTAGAAATTTGCATTTTTTAGGGATTTTGCTATACGGTATCATTATAAGGACAAGTGGACTACAACCGTTAGTTTCTATCGCTGCAGCCATACAACTTACTACGTGCCCGACACGAGATCTGCCTGCCACAGGCTTACGTGCAGGCGCTTAATATTTTTTGAAAACTGGAGGCTTAATGAAACATGGATGTCTAAAATTAACATTAGAAGAAAAAAAATAGAACACATATTTATTAGTATTAGCCTTATCAATTAAAATTATTTTGTTTGCTTAGTGCCACAGTCAGCCATACTATATGATGGCAGTCTGTAAATGATCAAGTCTGGACCACACAATCCAGTGATTTACATCATGAGTGTTGATCATTACAATTGGGACACAATGACATATATCAACCAAGTCAGCGAGTCTGAGTCAAACCTGTTAGTTGCCCCTTGTGACAAGTATGGATCTACACAGGTGTAAACTTGTTTAATGACATGTGTATGGAATGATGTTGTATCTGGTTTATAGCGCACGTAGGAAGAGAGCTCAATAGGGAACTGCCAATGATGTACAGTTTGACCTTATTTGAGATCTGAAAATCTGGGTCAGAATAGGTCTTCATCAACGGATAACGGATCGGGTGATCCGTGAGGCTCACTGACTTGGTTAATTAAAGTACAGTAAACTGTTTATAAAGAACACGTTTATAACGAACTGATGGTCATAACAAATTTGTTTTTAGTCAATGCAATATGCTGTATATATGCTGTATGTAAGCTTATAACGAACTAATATTAGTGGTCCCTTTGAGTTTGTTATAGCTGTAGTTTACTGTAATTGTATCCCAATTTATATACGTAGATCGATGCTCATGATGTCAATCATTGGATTGTCTGGTTAAGACTCGATTATTTACAGACCGCCGTCATATAGCTGGCTTTAAACAACAAACAAACAAACAAACAAACAGACTGTGGGCCAAGGAAACATGTACTGCAGTAAAGAGGATCTCACAGCCACACATTTTTTAATTTTTGTTTCACAGACCAGCTGCCCTACTGAAAAAAACAGCCAGCCTAAGAAATAAATAAAAAAAAAATATTTATTTTTATTATGTCTCCCACTAATAATATAGACCCTCTTATTCAAAATAAAATGTTATTTATTAGTTCCATGTATACATCACTATCTATGATTCAACACGACAGCAGAATGATTTTCATATAAATAAATAAATAAAAAAAATAAATAAATAAATAAAAAATAAAAATAAATAAATAAATAAATAAATAAATAAATAAATAAATAAATAAATAAATAAATTTTTACTTTATTTCAACTGACCTTGTGTGGCAAAGCTGGAATAAATTCGTGAAACATAAGATTTCTAAAGTGTGGCCTAAGATCCATCAAAAACAAAGTGATCCAAGTTGCCTTAGTGCAACCCCAACTGTTAGCAAGATAATATCTGAATTGTTTAAGATTCGACCAACCAGAGATTAATCAAGCACCAAACAGAAAAGAATTCTTTTAGGGATGTCTTAATTTTTTCCGGCCACTTTGATGGGCTATGTCGAGAATGGGCCCATAGTATTTTTCATAATGGGACAGAGATAATAGCATTGAACTGTATGAAGTAATTACAACCCAACCTAGGGAGGAAACGATACATTGGTGCACAGGTGCATTGTGAGTTTTCATGCAATGATACGATACACGATACGTTTTTTTCTGTATCGATACAAGACAATACACGTGCTAAAATGTATTACTTACTACTTGTGTAATGCTTCTCACCACAACCCGATTGTTTTTGTCAGCGAAATATTGAAAAATGTGTTGTGTAGCTTTTTAAATTAACTACTCAAAATAGCCGCTACAAACATGTGTCTACAGCTAGCGTTTGCTTTGGAACCTGCTCTGAAATATTTATAGTCAAGAAGTTTTCACATGATTTGATGTAAATATGTGTATCGCGATACGTATTGTATCATGACCTTGCTGTATCTATTCACACCTACACAATCCACTGATCTAATTATGGGTGTAGAGCTAGAGAAAGTTAACAGTGATTAACAAAGTTGACCGGGTTTCTGACAAGGTCAAAGATTGGCGTGATCTGCACTTTAGATCATA